ATACACACTGTACATGTATTCATTTGTTAGTGTACCTTGAGATCAATTTCTAAATTTTCTGGTTATGTTTTTTTATTTGAGATAAACTGTATTTGAATTTCCCATTTTGTAATAATTAAGGTTGACTAATGGATGATGGACTTCAGCTTAGCAATACACATGTAAATAAATCTATACAAATTTATTTCAATAGTATATACCGGTAGACCATTTCTTACAAGATGATCTCTACTTAAATACATGTACATGTAGCTAATTTAGAGCACTGATCAAAATGTATGTAAAATGTAAGAGGAAGCTTGGAACATTGGTAACTATGTTTTTATATGAGACATATTATTTTATGAGGTTAAAGATAATCATAGTATACAAAGACTAATACGACCAGGTTAATTAACTTGTTATATGTACATTCAAGTTTGTTAAGATGAGCTTTCATTGTGGTCTACATGTTTTATCATATACTGTACATTGCTGCTTCTGACCATTCACAGATTTAAAGTTGAGTCGGAATACTTTATTGACCCCAACTTCCCATGATGTAACTTACTCAGTAAATTTAGATTATATTGCTAAATTTCTTGGGAAAGGTAAACATGTTCTTATGATTTGTACATGTGTATATGCCAACTTTTCTTTAAAACATTTCAAGATAAGTATACAAATACATGTACGGTATTCATATTTGTTAGCAGATGTTCCTGCATTTATTGATAAATCAAATACAAAACATTCAAATAACAATAATAGTATATAATATAATTGATTTACATAAAGAGTGACAACTGGAATACACACATAAAAATGCATATGATTGAAAACTTGAAAGTATATATAGAGGTAAGTAAAAGAATCAAGATAAACGCAGAGGCCAACTATCATAAGCATGAATGCTTGAGTCCATGGCAGCCGGGAAAGGTGGGGGTGGGGGGGGGGGGGGGTACATGGCGCTGTTATAGGAATATGTAGGAGAACAGAGAGTCATGTATGAAAGTGCATTTAACTTTAACAGTGTAAAGTGTCATTTACTTCATTATATTATCTTGTTCAATATCTTTGTTTTTTTCAGGAGTATGTGGGCTAAACTGCCTAAAAAAAGATGAAGAAACAAATAACTTGGACCCCCCCCCGCCAAAAAAAGAGACTTTTGTATAGTTATTTGTGTATTTAATAACAGTGTAATTATTTATTAGGTTCAAATACTATGCAATAACTTTGTGTGTATATGTATATATATATCTATAACATACAGTGTATTTGTGTATTTATTTCCAAGAGAGTCACAACAAGTTTTGTGCATTTGTCAAATTTCTTTCATTGCATTATGAATAATTATTCTGGGTAATTAATGCATGTAATAAAGCTCAAAGCCATGATCCAACTGAGGCACGTAGCTTGTTATTGTTCAAATCTCACCTGCCCAGGACAAAAAATTAAAATACATGTACTACTACTACACTGTGTGCAACACACCCCCTTCGTGGAGAAAGGAAAGTAGAAGAGAGAACACCTTTAACAAATATGGGAGATAAAGAAATAATTAAATAAAGAGGAAAATGATGAGGAAGATGAATGAGAATTGCATGAGATTAAAATGAGTACATAGATCAAAATATAGAGAAAAAGAGTGGCATATGGATTTAATATTTGTTGGTGTTTGTTAGGGGATGAGATGATGTGCTGTGAGTGCTGCTTTTGCAAGTAGTGTCGAGTGACGAAAACATTGGCTCTTTAAGTTACTTACTTTCATATTAAAGTAGATACAATGAATGGCAGTCTATTTTCATTCAATGTTATCTTAATAACTTAAATTAATAACATTTTACCTCAAAGGGTAAAGTTGACATTACACTTTCCAGCTAACAAATTTTGTATTGCCGAAGATTTTGATCCCTCCTTTTCTCAAAAGTTTGAGCTAAATGGCTTATTTTTAGTATTTGATACCATGAGTAGTTCAGCTGGGCATGTGCCCAACAAATTTATTCTTGAGTCAGATGTAACAAAGAATTACCAACTCGTGGACAAAGGGGCAAACAGATTCAGATCTAGATTCACCTTCAAAATAAATTTATTTACCATTAAAAAAAAATAGCAAAAACATAAATAACATGACAAAAATATATTTTTGATAACAAAGATGTTTCAGGAAAATCTCAGGAAATAATGGTTGAACTGTACTAACTTCATAATATAATCAATATATGATTCACAAGTTATGACCTTCATGATAATTGATAAATATTTTTGTAGAAAATAGTAGGATATGTATAAAAGAAAAAGAAGCTATGCTTGTTTATTACATGCATAAAAACTAACGTTAGGTAACGTATGAGTGGGTCATTGAAAATGAACCAGGGCCACAATCACCACATCTTCCCTACATATCAAAGCATGCAATGTTACTATCATCATATATTATAATCAAACAATTATAATGTTAATATGTTATTTTACCATTATTTTCTTTCATATACAAATACAGTACAAAAACATTGATAATATGTACATGTCATGTACATATATTTGTTTTAACGTATCCCTAAAGGGACTGATTGATTGATTGAAATGGTATGTACATGTATTAAATAATAAACACACATGGCCGCTAGGCAGCTGGATTAAGTTGGATATACATGCACCATGCAATGCAATACAAGTTGGGGAAAACAGCAAAATGCAATCGGTTATTACATATTCATAATTTACAAGCATATCATAACAAATGTATAGCAAAATAAACATATGGACTATTGCACCAAAGAGAGTAGAGAGAAAAGGAGAGAAAGAGATAAAAAAAAAAAGAAGAGATATATACTTGGACAGAAAGAAAAGTTAAGGCAAAAAGGGAGAAAATATAGATAAAAGAAGAGAAAGAGAGTGATTACTATATAGACAGCTAGAGATAAAAAGAAAAAGTGAGAAAGCAAAAGAAAGAGAGAGAAGACAGAGAAAGAGAGTAATTGGTAGAAATATAGAGGGAGAGTGAAACAAAAAAGAAATATCCATACATTATATCAAAATGTAGAACAAAGTCATTCTCCAGTTGTAGTCCAAGAGAGGATAGTAAACAGTAAACAAATATACTCATTATGGCCCGAATTCACAAAGGAGGTATCTAAACCCATAACAATGTTTTGTAAATGTTACACAAGGTCAGTATGTGTGACATAGGTACCAACACTTTTGACAAGCACTATATATGGCTGGTCTTTGACCAGATATTACAAAGAGGGAAATAGAGAACAAACAAAAATTATTTGATGTAAAATCTTTTCTCTGATTATTGTGAGATATAAACCTCATCATTCTTTGAAATATATAATACAAATGCGCTTTCTTCATTTTTAACCTACAACAACAGTGTACCATGCAATTGTTTATACTCTAAAGATATATGTGTCTTAATTGAACATGAAACAATTTGTATTTAAAAAAAAAAGATTTAATATCATGATTGAAATTTATTGGCAACATTTTCTGTTAATAACAATAATAATTATAACAATAATTATAATAACAACAATAACAATTACACTACTACTACTAACAATAATACATGTACATGTAATTGGAATTTAATTATATAGGGCATTTCCACAAGATATAAGGCACTACAAAGTACCAAATGTACTTTACCAATTTGAGTAAACATATTTACATTTATTTGGGTGATGCTCTATTATCTGCTGATTATAAGGTGATTTGGTAGGCAACAAGATCAGCATGTTTTTTAGCTTGTGCTTATGAAATCCAATCCATCTCAACACAAATGATGGATCAAAATTAGACTTTTGATGGCTATTCAATTATATGCTCATCAAAAACAATATCTTGAGAGTACAAATAATCATTTCCTACACAGCTACATGTTATATTCTGAAGACCATAGAAAATGTACCTGTATCCTATGCCATTGGAACATTATGTGATAAGAAATTCTAAAATTCTAATTTGTAATTTCAAAATATTGTTAAAAAAGTGCAAACGTGTATCCAAACTATACAATTATACCCATTTAAGAATTCATTGAGTAACAACAATCCAGCCATTACTAGTTTTCCTAAGTACCACTTACAAATATTGTGTTGTGACAAATATATCCAACTAGTCAAACAGCTAAAGACACCCTGGGTTACCGATGAATTTGTTAGTTTGTCTCATGAGAGAGATAAGCTTAGCAAAAAGGCTGATAAATCAAACCATCCACAAGCTTGGAGACATTTTAAAACCTGCCAAAATCATGAAAACAGCCTGAAAACTACCTAAAAGAAGGCATATTGTCATCGGCAAATCTTATCTAAGAAGAGTAACCCTTCTGAATTGTGGAAAGTTCTCAAGATTCTTACCCCTAACTCAACACATGGTGAATTAACCCACTAGCTTAAACCTACGTACCCTACATGCTTGTTCTGAGACTGAGCCGCTCATATTTGCCAATGCTTTCAATCAGTTCTTTGCATAAATTAAGAGTTAGACTGCTTCCAAATATCCTCTACAGAATATCCACCTTTCTTTTGAAAATCAAGCTGACATTGCTCAAAATGGCTTTTCTTTGGTTGATGTGACATAATATTTTGTGCTTAAAGAATGACAATCTGTAAAAACTTATGAGGCAACAGGCTTTATTAGAGAAAACCTCACCCCAAGAAATAACTTTGACTTAGAGATTTATTAGATTTTCTTGATAACGTGACGTACTATGTGAAGTCGTTTATCAAGTAAATGTATTCAAATTTATGGATGCTTCTTTCCCAGACGTGTGTGGTGATGAAGCATTTCATTTTACCTGCTATTATCCTTTGTACTACAATTGCCAGAATGCAAATTGCATAAATAAGTTGGTGCTCTTCTGGGGTCAAGGTTTTTCATGTCATGCTAAAAGCCTAAAAGGCATCACATCATGCCAAGAATATCTTCATTTATATATCTCTTGTAAATTTTCATAAGGAACAATTTACATCAAATGGCAGGAATACATCTCATTTTTCAAAATACCTTCACTTATTCTTTGGGGTGAGGTTTCCTTTAATTATAGGTTATTAAAATTGGCTGCACCTATCAACAAAAAAACAATCACCAAACTTTTTAATCTATCTCTCTAATTAGGAGTAATTCCTGAAGAATGGAAGCAGGCCAGGATTACCCCCATTCACAAATGTGGGAACACAGACAATGGAATACAATTATACAGTATACAGATGTGAATATCATCTGATAACGATTCTACCAACAATCATGAAGGTGTTTAGAAAAGACTGTGCACACCTAGTTTACATGACTATTTGTTGGATTCGGACTTGCTTACTCTTACCAATTCATGTTTCCGGAAGGGTTATTCCACTAATACTGCATTGGCATATGTTAGTGACTTCTTATACAGTAATATGGATAGTGGTAAAATAACGGATTTGATTTGATTCCGTGAACTACCGGAAGTTACTATACGCATACTAAAAAGATTTTAGAGATAAAATCATACTCAGAATACCACCCAAGAAGTTTTCAAATACTGGTCAACTGCGATAACTTGGAACAAGGGAAGCACACATCTGTGATTGCAGATAAGTTTGGCCTGTAAAGCTGAGCACTAAGTTTAACACCACTTGATAAGACGAAGAGTGACGGCTTGAAGACAGAACTACCAGATGACAGGCCTTATGCTGTTTGGTAAGAACGGCTCTGTGTACTCTGTACTCTGTGTACAAAATGGACATTTTGCAGGATCTGTAAAGAAACCATAATGAAACTCACATTGTCATAAACAAATTGTGTTATTTCAATAAAATCCAAACTAGTACGGATGACTTGCCTTATGAAATTGGTATGTATAAAGACTACAAGTTCACATTATTGATATCATTATCTTACACCTTTTTTGTATTCACTGCTGAAAAGAAGCGGACGCTACCTACTTGATCCGCACCTAAAAAGTTCACATTATTGATATCATTATCTTGCACCTTTTTTGTATTCACTGCTGAAAAGAAGCGGACGCTACCTACTTGATCCGCACCTAAAAACATGCAACCTTTCAGAGTAGCTATAGAGTGTAGCACCTCCCATGCGCATTTGTTCCCATGGTTGTGCACATTGTTGTACATGAAATGCCTAATAATCCTATGCTGTCTGATTTTTTTTCCGCTACCTTGTCATGTAACATACAGCCAACCCATTCACAGAAACAGTGCTGGTTAACAGTTTGGGTACACCCTAGATTTTGAAATGTGTTTTAAATTCAGTGTTTGTGTCCCACATACATAATTAGCTTGCTTGGGCTCTAAAAAAGATTGAAACCAGTTTCCATTTTTACCGGTATGTTTCTACATTGCACTAAAACACGATTTAGGTATGTTGAATTAAAAAAGTCCCTTCCATAGACCCTCCCCCCCCCCCCCCCAGCCTCAAACAAAAGTCTTTCCTGGGAGGATGATTGTCTGAGGTGAATGTCCGGGGGGGGGGGGTATTTGTCCTGGGGGTAATTGTCCCAATTTGAACAACTCAAGATCTCCCTTTCTAGCACGTGATGCCTAAAATTTTGGTAAGAAACCAGCCATGGATTTTTAAAGATGAAGAAGAAAATGTAAAAAGTTTACATCACACAATTTGCGATTAAATAGCTCACTTGGGCAATTGAGCTTGGAAACTTGATGGGCCTAGGTTAAAGCTAGTAACAAGAAATTTTTAATTTACAACAAAAATAAATGGTACAGTTGCAAAAGTAGGGAAAAATACACATTTAAGATATTTCAGCAACAACAAATTTAACACACATCTATGGAAGTGATTTAAATCACTGATTTTGACAAAATAAATGAATCAAGGTGATCTAAATCATCCCTACCCTTGATGAAACTAGGCTTTAAAATGACAAACAAAACCTTCTAACCCAACAGCACCTTGGCAAAATTGCCAAATTTGCTTGGGCAAATGATGCTTTATGTATTAGTATCCAAAATACCTCACAGTAATATTAATTTTTTACATGTATTTCGGCATTGTGACAAACTAATGCCTCAGTCACACCTCTGCGTATGTTGCTGCGTATTGCTGCGCTCTGCGGCGTATATCAATACGCAGCCGTGCCCAGCAATACGCAGCAAATTTGAAGGTAGCAGTCACACTATTGCGTATCTAGCTCGTAGGTAGCTCATATGCCGCTCGTACAAAGACTGCCTACGGTTGCCTATGGCCACGCTATAGCTCATAGCAGTACGATTCAATACGCAGTTTGCTCGCCATGTTGCGTATGTAGCTCGTTTGCTGCTTTTTTGCTGCTCGTTAGCCGCTTGCACCAGTTGGTCTTGTTGCGTGTCCGCTTGCTTTAGCTCGTCTGTTGTTCGTACTGATGCGTGTCGGCTCGTGCTACAGCGTACCAGCTCGTTTGGGCTGCGGCATATGTAAAAATACTAGTCCTTTTGAGGGACTGGGCATAAACATCTATCTTCTGACGATTCTACATCTACAAGAAAATAAATCTGATGACAATAATGGCCCTGCAGCAGAGCTCTGCTTTGGTTCAGCTGGAAGAAGAGAGGTGAATGAAGATTATGAGCAAGGGAAGCTGCTGAATGAGCTGCATCAACAAAGTATCCCTCGGAGTTGTTGGGTGCGGTCCTGGATCTACTGGAGGAAGGACCAGGGACAATTCGACCAACTGATGAGGGAACTGGAAGACGAGGACCAAGAGGCATTCACGGACGTGTTGAGGCTAACCCTGAAATGTTTAAAGAGTTAGAGCAGAGACTACATGAAAGACTGGAGAAGTGGGACACCTTCTTCAGGAAAGCCCTCTTACCCGCACTGAAGCTGGCCAGGGTGACAGCTACAAGACACTAATGTATAGCTTTAGGGTAGCCCATAATACCATTTCACTCATGGTACGTGAGATATGCACTGCCATCATTGAGGAATACGGTGATAAGCTGGTGATGTGACCTACCAGCCCACAGGAATGAAAAGCAGTCACACAGGGCTTCGAAGGCTGCTGGAATTCTCCCCAAACCTTGGTGCTTTGGACGGCAAGCATGTTGCAATCAAGTGCCCTGAGGATAGTGGGTCAATATTTACAACTACCAGTGTTTCTACTCTATTGTACTCATGGCCCTGGTCGACGCCAAGTACAGATTTGTGTGGATAGATGTCGGAAACGAAACCTCTGATGCACAGCTCTTCAACTCGTGTGAACTAAAACAACGTCTTAAATCTGAAACCCTTGGAGTGCCTCTGCCAGAGCCTCTGTCCAACGATGATGAAGACATCCCCTACTTCTTTGTGGCAGACGAGACCTTCGCCATGACAACATGGCCAATGAAGCCGTACGCAAGGAGGGCTATGGCTAAACAAGAGAGAATTTACAACTACCGGCTGTCCCAGGCAAGGAGATTGGTGGAGAATGCTTTCGGCATTCCTACCAACCGATTTCAGTGCCTGCTGAGTACTGACCACTCTCCGACAAACCCCTTCAACCGTCAGGACCATGGTATAGGCAAGCTCCTTCTCTTGGTCACTTGAGAAGTTGACTAGGTCTTTCCGCGGCTTCTTCGCCATGTTCGTCTCGTGTTCACCCAGCGATGGTGACTCCGGAGCCGGCGGGGCGATGGGACCTAGGCAGCTTGACTGGCTTCGTCCTCGTCGTCACCCCCCCCCCCCCCTTTCGCTTTGGCTTTCGGCATCTTTTCAGTGTTCAGTAGTTGTATATTTTTCAACTGTTGACTGCAGTATGATTCCACCCACCCGCTATATTATTGCCGTATGACTATCAGCATATAGCGCTATAGCGTGTCGAAAGTGCTAGCAACATAACAGCAAACAGCTAAAGCAAACTGTACAAGGTAGACTCGCAGCGTGCATAGTGAAGGCAATTTTTGTGTTTTGCTGCTGCTGTGAGCGATGTGCGAGCAACAGCGCAACAATACGCGCAATCATGCATATAGACACGAGTTAAAGCGAGGTAATTCGTGCAGGAAACGCAGCTACACATGCTCCGAAAAAAGAGGTGCGTATGATTGCGTTTACCTGCGCTAAGCTACACGCTGTCGCTCGCATTCACTGGTTGCCACTCGTATCCGCTCGTATGCGATTTGACCTTGCGCGTTTTGCGATAGTTTAGAAATTTAAAACTAAGCGTAGCGACGCAGCGCACGCAGGCACATAGTAGTTTGCGTATTGAGTACGTAGTGAGCATGTTTTATTACGCGTTATTGGGTATGACTGCCTTTGTCTGCGTTCGGGTAATACCCAGCAATACGCAAGCCAAATACGCAAAGGTGTGACATTGAGGCATTGTAAGACATAAGTTGTGTCATGTTTTTCTAGACATTATTCTACACCAGATACTGTAGAGCAGGGTAGAGCAAGGAGAAAATATCTGCCTACCGGTAATTCCAATTGGACACATATTTTCTGGCTGATTTCAATACCCAAAAGCGCATGGACAGTTGTAACTCCTCCAAGTATTATAATTTCTATGAGATATTTTGGAAAGCTACATGTATGTACATTATTGTTTATGGAAGTAAAGGATGATTTACAGTTAATCTGGAACAATAAAAAAATGTGCTAAAGTATCATTCAAACATACCACTTTGTCTACAATCAAAATAAATTGGAAGACATATTTACTTAGGTTCAGTTGGAGAGAGAAAAAACATTATTTTCAAAAGGCCCAAAGTTCTTACATGCTCCGAGTCATCCATCTTCTATCCACTCAGAACTGATCTCTTGAAAATGGGTACATGGCATGGTCGATTCCTTGAAGAAGATCTCTAACGTTGAGGCACTGTGATTTAAAATACAGACAAATTGCTCATTATAAGACAGTCAAAAATAATGTCATTATGCTGATACGGTACATGACCGACAATATGTTACCATATTATTTGTATGGCATGGCTGCAGATAGACCTTAAATCAGTTTATTTGTTCTAGGAAATTGCCTTTTGTCAAAATCCAAATACAGTACCTAAAATCATGTGTTGGCTGACATTAATATATCAAAATAAACAGACAAACAAAAACAAAACATACAAACACTTACAAGAGTACATCCCATCAAGTTTATATCTATTTGTAAATCCATTACTTGTAAATAATACCAGTAAAAAAGAATTTAAATGGACAATGGATACTCAATTCAATACAATTCAGTTCACCAACGTAAGTGTATAATAGAGAGGGGTAAAGGCTAGATGATAATATGAAGTTAATATCCCCTACATGTAGTCTTAATAAACAATAATACAATAACAATAATACTCGGGGGGGGGGGGGGGGTTACAGCCCCCAGCTGCGTTTGCCAATGGCAGAGCGGTCTCTGTTATCACAGATGAAAGCGTGAAAAGATGTTGTATTTCAGTATCAATAACATGGATTAGGCCCGCCATGTGTATTGTATCGACAGAGAAAATACTAATCAACATTAAAAAAGACTCTCCGTTATGTAACCCTATTCTTGCCTTCCTTTATGAATAACTTGTATGGATGGCCTGGTGGTCTCCATCATTGGCGTAGATCCTTACTTGATACCTATTTTTGAGGGGGGATGAATGAATAGATCACCCCCTCCCCCCTGAACAACATTAAGTAATGATCTACGACACTGGTCTCCATTATCAGAAAGGAAAGGGGCACATATTGTAAAAAGGAAATTATCATAGGTGAAAAGGGGCACTGATGAGAATAAAAAAAGGGGCACTTATACTGAAGGATAAAGAGCAATATTTTAGAAAAGAAAAAGGGCATGTGTCAAAATAAGAGGGAAGTTATTAGAGGTGAAAAAGGACACTCATTAGTGATGAAAAGAGCACTTATCAGGAGGGGAAGGGGCATTTGTAAAAGTAAAACCAGTATCTCTCAGATTTGAATAGGGGCAATTATAAGAGGTGAAGGGGGCACTTATCTGAAGTGAAAAGGAGTAACTTCTCGTACCTGAAAAGGGATACTTACTAGAGATTAAAAAGGGCACTTTAAATGCGAATGGAAATGGACACATGTCAAATACAAAAGGGGCACTTATCAGAGGTGAAAGAACACTTTTTGGGTACTCTGAAAGTGAGGGGAGGGGGCATGGGTATATTGTCTGCAAGATTCAGACTAATATTCGCAAAATATGAATTAAACGCTTCTGCTTTTACTATCATTGAGCAGAACATTCCGTTTTTTTTTGCACTATCCACCAAACAGAAGGAATAGCATGTGTAATTCAGTACAATATCATCATAATCTTGAATTAACCAAAACTATTTAAGATATGCTTTACTATACACATTCCATAGATCCTGGTGGGCATGGGCTGCAGCACCTTCTCTTTGGAATACTTTACCATTTAATTTGAGAATCATAACTTCCTTAGAGACCTTTAAATCAAAGCTGAAATCTTATCTTTTTTAACGATACCTGTATTTGGCACTATGACACTCATCCAAACTCTCTCATTCTTTATATTTTTTTTGTGTGGCCTCGGAATAGAATTGTCTAGATAGACGGCACGATATAAATGCCTATTATTAATTTTAATGGAGATGATATCAGTCGATCTTTCTTCAATTTAAATTTACAAAATTTCCATCAAAGGTACGCATCAGATTGCACTATTTGAAGTGAAAAAATTGCAAAAGCTCCATACTGTGTCAAACTCAAGGCTCAAAATACACGGGGGTAGCGGGCGCTTGGCCCCTGTGAGCTTCATAATCGCCTCCGTCAGATTGCTCACAGGGACGATTGCAAATCTGGTGATTCCAAAAGACCAGCAAATAATAAACCTCGACCAGTAAATCAACCGAAAGCTATATTTAGTAAAAGGAAACCAGTTGGCGAGGAGGCGACTGCATGGCTTGGACCAGAAATTTCGTACAGAGGTAGGAGATCTGACCATTAGAGCATACAGTAACTGTAAAGTTGTAAGAGGGAAATAATACCGAAAATGATGAAATAGCAAAGAATTTAGGAGTATCATGGGTACCACCAATTCAATGGAAATTTGTATTAAAAAAAAAAGCCCCCGTCAGTACTAAAAGAGCCCCCGTGAGAAGGCTCACGGGGGCTCTTTTTTTGGAAGAGCCCCCGTGGAAAAAAAATTAATTTGAGCCCTGGTCAGACTGAAATCAGAGTTTTGTTTTCTCTTTATTTAATACAGAGCCTGTATTCAGCCCCCCTCCCCCATTCCAACTGAAATTAAAGATTTGTTCTCTTTTCTTTTATACAGAACATGTATTAGGCGAGCCCCACCCCCCCCCCCCCCCTCCCTCAACCTGTGGTTACACCAGTCACATTTCCCTACTCTTACTCGACTATGATATGTCTGACTTAAATTATAGTTTTGTTTTCTCTTTATTTAATAAAGAGCCTATTTTAAGCGAGCCCTCCCCCCCCAATTCCCCCCGTGGCTACGCCAATCAAATTTTCCTACTCTTTCTTGAATATTAGAGTTCCGACTAAATTGAAGGTTTGTTTTCTCTTTATTTAAAACAGAGCTTTGTTGGGGTAAACCCCTCCCCCATTCCTCATTTAATACAGAGCCTGAATTAGGTCTCACCTAATACAGGCTCAGTACTAAAAGAGCCCCCATGAGAAGGCTCACAGGGGCTCTTTTAGTACTGAGGGGGGCTCATATTTTGTACAAATTTCCATTGAATTGGTACCCATGATACTCCTCAATTCTTTGCTATTTCATCATTATCACTTATTTAAGTCAGCATTTTCCCTCTTACAAACTTACAAGTTACATATCTGTTACTGACTGTCATCCCGTCATGACAATCCCTCCATTTCAGCACATTAGTTCTGCACATTATTTCCTCCTCATTATTCGGAGCAACCTTATTCACATTCTTTCTTCACTTTAACCCTATTTAGCCCGGGCTATTTTGAAACTGCATAGCCCGGGGAGGGGGGGGCTTCTAAGGCCCCCCCCCCCTATGATCTCGGCGTGAAACGAAAATTTGCATACATGTCAAGTGAAGTGTATAGAATACTATGGTAATTCAATTTTTTTGAAAAATTCACTCATTTGCATATTTATGGTAATTTATGCAAATAAGGTCATCAAATTCACATTTTTGCCCATGAAACAGACATTATTCATATAAGCATTCTTTCTCACTACATATATTTGTTAGACCATTTGGAATGATAAAGAGTAGGAATGCGATTAGCGTAGCCACGGTGAAGAGGGAGGGGGGGGGGGGAGCTCACCTATGAAGGTAATGTATAAAATAAAGAGAAAACAAAGTAATTTCAGTCTGACTTTTTATGGTCGAGAAAGAGGGGGAAATGTGATTAGCGTAGCCATGGGTAATGGGTGGGGGGGGGGGGGGAGCTCGCCTATGAAGGTCATGTATTAAATAAAGAGAAAACAAAGTAATTCAGTCTGACTTTTTATGGTCGAGAAAGAGTTGGGAAATGTGATTGGCGTAGCCATGGGGAATGGGTGGGGGGGGGGAGGGCGCTTAATTCAGGCTCTGTATTAAATTGGAATGGGGGGGGGGGGGAAGGGCTCGCTTAATTCAGGCTCTGTATTAAATGGGGGGAAGGGGGGGAGGGGAGGGCTCGCTTAATTCAGGCTCTGTATTAAATAAAGAGAAAACAAACTATAAGTTTAGTCGGACGTATCATATTTGAGAAAGAGTAGGGAAATGTATTGGCGTAGCCACGGTGTGAAGGGGGAGGGGGGGGGGAGCTCACCTATGAAGGTAATGTATAAAATAAAGAGAAAACAAAGTAATTTCAGTCTGACTTTTTATGTCGAGAAAGAGTTGGGAAATGTGATTGGCGTAGCCATGGGGAATGGGGGGGGGGGGGGAGGGCTCGCTTAAT